GGTTTTTCTTTACTGATGCCATACTTGGAGTCTAGCCTTGCCTCAGTCTGGATCTGATTTTAATAAATGCCACATCAAAACTCAAAGGCATTATTCAGGAGGCCACTGGAGCATGCAAGTTCAATTTAATGACTTGCCAAAGAGCTGCATCCATGCCGCATCACTGGAAGGAAAAAAAAGATAAGTGTTTTTTCTTGTTTGCACCCTTGAATATATATATATAACTAACCCTTGCCTCAAACATTTATACCGACATGTAAAAGAAATGAAACACTTGGGTCTAATGGACTTAGTTTAAACTATCGAGTAATCGCAAAATGTGAACAAAAACAGTCAAAGTGGGGGACTGTCAAAAGAAAAATGTCAAAATTAAGATCTTTTACCTCTGAGCTTTAATGGAAGCCGGGCAGAGGACAGACTACTAAGGTAAGTTCCTGCACTCTTATGCAGTTGTGTTCTTTCAGTTTTTCCTTTAGATGTTCTGCTGGACTCCAGTCTGGAGAACTACTTAAAGCCAAACCACTTTGAATCCAATGCAACAGTCCCAGCAGAAAAGTTATTTCAGCCTGCTGAATGTATTGTTGGGTTCAGTCTGCACCAGCAGTTCCGTTATGATGGTTGCAAGAGTAACACTTCCAGCTCCATATTGATTTGCCTGAACAATGTGACCCCTGAGGTGTTGTGTCCAGCACAGGATGGGGATTGCATGTCTGCATTTAACATGGCTCCCAAACAGCCTCTGAGCATCCAGTTCATGTCCACAAGGATTGCCTTGTGCTGATGTGTGGTTTAGTGTTTCTGGAATTTCTCATGCTATAGCCCCTGCATAGGTATGATTGTTTAGGCCCTTGTTAGTGTCATGGATATAGTGTCCCTCACAGAATTGTTTTTCTGTGCTCCTTTCAGTCTATGGATGAAGTGGAATATCAAATCTAGAACCAGGATACCAGATGGTACATGGTTATTTAAATATTCTTGCATTCATTAAAGCCATGTATTTTATGACTTTCAGAATGAGTAGATTTTAACAATTGGTAAAGTTTTAATTCCAGTGCCAGTCAATATGGAGCTGGTGCTCACATGACTGGAGCTCAATATTGTCTCCTCAAAGAACAGTACTCGATCAGCCTCAAACGTGAACTCTTAACTGATAGCTTTGTGCCTGGTTGAGCTCTTGATGCGAGACAGTCTTCATTCTGGTTTAATACACTTTTATAACTCTTTCCTCAGGCAGTCTTCATGGTGACCACCCATTTGCCCGGCTCAGTCGAGCCATCTGGATCTACTTGCTATATGGTGAGCAGTTGCTCATGGAGGATGTGAAGGAACTGGTCTTCCAGTATGCTCAAGATGCTCTTTAACCTGTGATTTTGCTTATCAGTCTTGCCAGATTTTTTTTATTGATTTGTGAAAGTGTTTTTTTAGTAAGTCAAGACCTTTTAGTGACCCTCCAGTGGAGGTTATTTTCTAGGGTTTTGAAGTGTTTTATAGCTTTTAATTGCATTATAGAAACCTTTTTTATGCAGTTCAAAGCTCAAACTGCAAACCATGCTACAAAATTATTTTTTTAAAACTTATTGTATCCCTTTGTTTTTTACTTTTTTGAAAGTGGAATATTTTATTGTATACATGCTTGTTGTAACTTTACCTTTTAACATTCTCGAAGTGCATGGATTTTTAGACCAACTCACTAACAAGTAAACCACATAATGCTTGTTATAAGTTGTCATGTTTCTTTCATGCTTTGCAAATGTGGAATCAATGCCACAACTTTGAAGAGATCTAGGAAAATGTCACAACACATTATAGCACTTGAGTAGCTTTCCATGATTGTGTATTATAAGGTGACAACCGGTTGGTTTCCGATTTAGATATCGGTTAAGGATATTTGATAGTAAAACATTAAGATGCATACCAGAGTGAAGGAAATGGACCTCTTGACTTGTGGCTTGTTGGATGCCTGCAGGGGTGCCTTAATGTATGTTAGAATTGTCTACCTCCTCAGCACTAAGACCAGTTGCCAACAGGAAAATGCTCTTCATGTTGTCCAACTTCTAGTCTAAAATCAATTTTAAACTCAAATAGGACCGTTTTGAAACTGTCCATGCACTGTAAAAAAAAAAAATGTAATGCTAATCAGCATTGTTACTCATTTGGTTTAATAACATTTGTTCATTCCTGCCGCTTACTGAATGTTCACTGTACACTGGCATTACTCTCCAAATTAAGTTTCAATAACAAAAATGTTAATTTTACCTCTACAGTTCCTGTCCTGTTGGGGAGCCCTAGTGAGCACAATTTCTAAAGTTAATTTTATGGCGCTTTCAACAAGTGTCTTCTGGCCTCTGGATGTTGATTCTGAAGTCCAATACTGTATGTGGAAATTTTGTGAAGGCTATTGAGAATCTTATACTTACTGATTAAATTATGAATTCTTCAGTTTAAGAGACCTGAAAAATCCAGTGTTTTAACCTGTCAATATAGGTCATTTTTTGTCTGGGGATGTCCTCTGGACTGTTTCCAGAGCTTGTAAAATGTTGTAACATTATGTAAATTATATGCCATTCTATTTGAAGTTTTACTTGTGTGTGTGTGTGTACATCGTTTGCATAATGTCCCTAAAAATGACTGCTTTGTTGCATCCTTACATTTAATAGACTGCATGAAAATAACACTTTCATATGTACCGTAGCTTAAGTTCAAGGTTTCCCAGCTTGCGTCTTTCTGTAACCTGCTTCCAACTCTGCATTTGTTAGCCTTAAATATAATTTCCAAGACCTTTACCCAGTCTTCTGTCTGCCCCTCTATAAGCTACCATTGTAAATGTAGGTGTCCAGGACAAGCATTTGCAGATTTTCATTCTACCTGTGCTTTTTGTAAGTGAATGGGTTTGATGTGAATTCCTAGTTAGCCGTGTCTAAAAGTAGACTTTGTGCGTCTTTCCTTATCGTTAAATGGTAATGGTAGTTCTGTCTTCTGGGACCAATAATGTGCAGTGCTGTGAAAAGGTCTGTTCTTCAACAGTTGCATGTATCGATTTGATCTTCATTTCAACCATATTGATAGATAAGTGATCTAATTTAACAAATAATGAAAATCCTTCTTTGCAATCATTTATTCAACAAAGAAAAGTGAGAAATGAAATTCCCTGCTGTGGGAGGGAGTTAAGTACACCCTCTAGCTTCAGTTGCTGGCAGAAAAGCAGCCCTAAACCATAATGCTTCCACCATGCTTTACAGGTTTTGGTATGAGGATCTTTTGGTGTTTGCCAAATATGACATCTGGCATTGTGACCAAACAGCTCTCCCTTTTGTCTCATCTGGCCAGGGCACATTGTTCCAATAGTCCTGATCTTCATTTTAGATGTCATACATCTTTATCCATTTTTGAAAGCAGCAGCTTCTTCCTTCCTGACCTTGCATGTAGGGCAAGGTTGTACAGTCTCTTTTGAATGGTTGACTCATGCACGTTTTGACATTGACTGAGGGAAGACTTTCCTGTAAATCCCTAGATGTTATCCTTGGGTTCTTGGAAACTTCTTGCAGCATCAGCTCTTGGGCTGAAGTTGGTGGGACAGCCTGGATGGATTTGCCAGTGGTTTAAAGTTTTCTCCATTTGTAGATCTTTTGGACAGTGGAATGATTGTCTACAAATTGCTTAGAAATGGCTTTAAAACCCCTCCCAGCCTCAGGCATCAACAATCTTTCTTCTGAGGGCCTCAGAGCTCATTTGATCTTGGCATGGAGCCACAATCCTCAATTGCCAAGACCAAACCACACCACCGGTTTCTGATGTTTATATAAGGCAGTGCCCTCTAAGTTACTCTAAGGATCTAATCATTTTACACCTATTTTGGTGCACCTGATTATAATTTTAAGCATTTGATGCAATGATAAAGGTAGGGGTGTACTAACTAATTCTGCTCTCCTTACTATCCCCCAAGCCCATCTACATTGTATGGGTGACAGGGCCTTCTGTTATGCCCCCAAGCAATGGAACTCTCTGCCTAAGGATATCAGTCACCTTCTCTAAACTTCAAATCCAGACTCAAAACCCTCTTCAGAAAAGCCTTTACTTAACTGGTTCCATTCTTCACCCTTCTGCTTTTCTTAGTAGTACCATCCAGGTCTCCTCTGTATATTGTGTTTTCTTGTTTATTCTTTTTATTTAGGGTTGTCATCCTGTAAAGTGCTTTGAGAAGCCCCCTTTAAAGGTGCTATATAAAATAGTTTATTATAGAACTTTTTCTGTAGAAGGAAATTGATTTTTAAATAGTACAAATGGAAAATGATTTCAGTCTTATTTTTTAGTTGTTGAAATGACAATCAAATCATTTGGTCCAAAAATGTAAAACAAAACTTTCCATGGGGTGTACTTTTTCACACCACTCTAGTGGTTGTGAAAAGATTGAGTCCCATCAGAACTATTCCATAAACCTTCCACAACTGTTCTGGGCTATTATAGATGTATACAATATTAATGAGTTCAGTTTTTGTAGTGGTATTGGCCAGAGATGTTCACTGTATCTCCAAAATCGTAGTAATACTAAGAATATTTACGTCGGAGGTAAAATACTCCTGCTCAAATTGATTCATCAAACCACTTCTAGCCTAGAACAGATGTGGTGTTGGGGATTGCCTCTGCGTTGAAACTAAAATTAATAAAGGCTGGCACATCCATTCTTTAATTGACTTGGCATACAAATAACTGTTCCTAAAAACTGAACTTAAATTGATATATAACAAGTAATATGTACAGCATGAACAATGAAATGATAAATGGGCCCAATTATGTGCTTATTAATAGTGGTTTTTTTCTACAAAAATCATCTTGCAACACCTTATCTACACAGGTGTTCGTGAAGTGGCAACGAGCTAAAGTGTTCTGGAACAGTATTTGCTCTTCCTCCTATGACAAATGTCCATATTTGGTTTAAGTGCATGCCAATGGAGTAGGGGACAGCTACTTTACATGTTTCCCTTTAATAGTACGAACAAATTTAAAATGGAATTAAACATTCTAAAGCACGTATTTTAAAACCTCTAGGGCATGGTTGACTCTCAATAACCAGGTTTAAAAAGCTTTATTTTGAATCGATAAAACTGGTAACTGAATTTTCTTAGTACAAGTTAGTATGAGGGTTAATATGGGGGGGAAGCTTTGATTCTGTGCATTAATATTAATTATTCCTTACCAGTTGGCAGTTTAAAATTCAGTATATTCAGAAACTGCTTGGTGAATAGGGGAAATCGCCTTTTCTGCATTCACATAAAGAGATTGTGTGCAGCTTAATTGTAAATTAGCTCAGTAATATAACTCCTGCAGAGAATTGGTATGTAATGCAAAACATCTTGCCTCTCTGTAGACCTAATTAAAATGGGTTTGGGGGTTGCTCACAAGGGAATTGGTGATAATCTGGCATTTTTAAGTGTATTTGCACAACTTTTTGTTTTTAAATTGATTACATTTTCTCTAAGCTTTTAAAATGTTTGATAGTGGCTTCACAAAGTTCTTGAGGTAGCTTTCAATAATTAAAAGCTACTGAAACATGTCTAAGTGTCTCTCATATGGAGACTTTAATTTGACTGTTATAGATTATACTGTTTCAATACTTGTGCATTAGCAGTTAAAACATGATCACTACATCTTTTTCCTTCTGTGTAGCTGAATATATGCAACCTACTGCATATTTAAGAAAAAAAGCAAATCAATAATATGAAATAGATCTGGTTGTATAACCTAAATTATCTTAATTCTAATTAAATTATTTGAATCGAGCATGCAAGTAGTGACATCTGTCCCTGGATGATAAGTTTAATTTTTGAGAAACTGAGTAGTAATCTACTATGAGGCCAACGAGAGATTTTGAGTTTAGGGAGTGAGAAGGAAGAAAGTGTTGAGCATGTACTGTACTTAACTAAAAAAAAAACCTCAAATCCCATTCTGGATTTTCAACAAAGCATCTTAGTGATACTGCAAGCATATGTTAAAGATTTTTATGGTCTTAAGACAGTTCCAGTTTTAAGTGAAAAATGTTACGTATGACCAACTCAGAATAGTTAATCACACTGTAAAAGCCATCCCTCCTGTCAAGCAAAATAGTGGCAGTGTTATGTTATAGTTCTGCATCTGCTCAGGAGTGACCAAGAAGCCTGTCAAGACCTACAGGAACATGCAGTTACAACAGAATGATACATTGCGAGTATTAATAGATGTTTGTCTGTAACCTGTAATTTCTACATTAGTTTACATCCTTCCTGTCGCACTTAGTATGCGTTCACATAATGGTGAAACTAGTGTACTAGAAGTCTTCCCAAGTGTGTCTGACTTACAATTTGTTTTTATTGTATCACTTGCTTTTCTTTTAAGCAGACAGGCTTTCTTCGATTGCAAGTCAGTCATTGGCAGCAATCAAATTCACCATTTGAGACTCATCCAGGCTTTTTTTTTAGATGGACACAATGATTACTTGGTTTTTTGTGTCTTGGTGTAGTCAGTCACTCACTTCATACTAACGTAGATACCGTATATGTAATGTATATGGTTTCATGTCTTTTAGCTGTCAAAAGCTTTTTGTTAAAAAAGCTAATTTACCCCTTCAATAACTAATGCTAAAATTTATAGGAAGTCATTGTAATACACATCCTGTACATACATTTGTTAAAGTAGAAACAAAGGACTACTCATTATGGGTAAGGGAATCTTCCTCAGACTGGTTTGAGGTCACTAATGCATTGTCAAAAGAGCCAGGTCTGGAAGTGTTGATCTTAGTCATCCAAATCGATTATCTAGACTCTCATATGATGAGAAACATGTCAAACTAAAAAAAATAAGTGGCATGCAAGTCACACAAGAATGAAAGGAGAACTTAATGACTCCTCAGACGTGGGGAGGTGAAGTTATAAATACACTCGTGACCAGAACTGAACCCCTTACCCGGGAACATAGAGTTCGGACTCCAAATATATTAAATGGCTGCATCACCAGGAGGGTCTTCAAAATCGGTAGTAATCCAAGGATAAAGAAGTGCAAATTGAAATTGTTTGGATTTTTCCAAGACTGGAAAAAGTGAAGAAACAACTCCGAAATCATGTGTTTGAATCTAAGTGTATGGGATCTTTTGGGGGGGGGGAGAACTCTGAATCTTTGCTCATTCATTAAGCTCATGTAATTGAGTTTCATATACTGGGCTTCCTTTTCTCATTGGTTCATTTCTTAAGTTGTTTGTCCTTTCAGTAATCTTTGGCCATGGAGTTCTTCTGCAGTCACTTACTGTACATGCACTGCTGGGTTGAGTGGGGTGAGTGGAGGGTTGTTGCTTCTCACACTCATCACATTCTGCCCTTTCTTTCTCATTTGCTTGTGTAAAGAATTTGCTCTGGTTGCACACTATAAAGGTGCAATGCTGTGTATTTATAAATTTTGGCAATCGATGATGTTCTTATGTTTGGTTACATCTATAAAAATATATTTGAAAATATTTCACCACAATTAATACATACATGTGGGTGAGGTAGGTAGCTATATAAGAGCAGGTTATTTATTTATTGATGTCACATGTAATACTGCCATATACACCCTTAATTGGTTTCTCTTTCACCTATACTGCATTAACATTGATATACATATATATGTTTATAACAAACCATTCACCCAACTGTGCTTCAACATAAGTGGAAAGCAGATTCTCTCTCAATGAGAGACAAATGGACATTTGAATGTGTTTGCAACCCTATGACTGTCCTGTACATTATCTTGTATTCTGCATTTAAAACTCCAATAT